GCCAGGATAAGGAGGGTGTGTAGATGAGCGTTACATGAGGTTGCTACAAATCATATGCAACGTATTTTCCATCTGGCCTCTGCACTTCTTGCCAATAGGTTTCTAGGAGCAATTCAAAGTGTCAGTTTTACCCTATAAAGCCCTATATGGCTTGGCACCTGAATAGTTCCAGGACTACCTCCTCCAATCAGATTTGACCTCTCCAAGCTGTCTCTCCCAGGATAAATTGGATGTTGACATCTCTACTGTACAGAATTTCAGTATACTCCTCCCATATTGTTTGATCTTCTTTGAATCAGTTACCATTTGTCCATTGATTTCCTTTAGCATACCAATTCAAGGTTGGAACCTTCTTCTAGTTCAGAGTTCTTTGGAAGACTTTCCTTGTTTTCTGTGTCTGTTTCCATCTTGTTGGTATACATGTTATATTGCTTCTTGTCTCTTCTAACAGCTCTTTGATACTTTTTGTTACGTTCCTTCCAGAGATCTTTGTCTTTCTTAGTTTTGGCTTCTCTTCTTTTTTCAGCAATTTCCATGTTTGTTCTGATATCCAGTTTGCTTTCTTCTGTTTCTTAATCTTTGGCCGTCTTTTTTCACATTCAACCTTACATTCTTTGATTTCGTTCTACATTTCCTCTGGTTCTGAATCAGTGAGGTTTAGAACTTCAATGCAATTCCTGATGTTCTTCTTGAAATTAACTTTTTTTGTACTTGAATATTTATTCTACAAAATATTTCTTTTAAAATCATTTTATTTATAATAAAGTTTTGTCATTTGCTTTGATTAAAGGGTAATATGGATTGGGATTTTTAATGCAATTAAAATGGACAAAACTTTCTAATTTTTGTAGAATATAACTCACATCTATTGATGTGATAAATTATTGGATATTGCTTATCTATTGACACTCACCACTGATAGTTGGGTTTAGCTTCTCTCCGTATCTGTGTGGTTTCAGCATCTTTATTGGCATGGCATGCAGTAGCATATCCATAGCTTTACAGTGTCTTTAGAAGTGAAGTGTTTTTATCCGTTAATTAAATTTATAGCCTTTCAAAATGGAGACATTATTGTTAAATGGTAAGATACAAGTTAAAGGTGATTCATCTACCAGTTGTACTAATTAAAATAAGCCTAAGTCAAGAAAGCATGATTAAAAATTAGATATGGTTTGAGACCCCCAGAATGTGGAATATAAAGCAATGCTGCTAGGCTGGATGCAGATTCCAATAAGGGGCACCATTTATTGCAATACCATGTTTCCATTCTAAATAGATTCTTTTGTTTAGAGTACAGGTTCTGTTCCTCAGTGAGAAAAGCTGGTTTTGTAATTTCCTGCTTCTGATAATATCCAGACACATTCAAGTCAATAATGATGAGATCCTTATAAGAAAAGACACATTGACAGATGTTCCTTGTTAGGCAGCAATTTACTGTGGATTTTTTTCAGTAAGCTACAAGTTTCAAGGCATTGCCTTAAATCTTGTGTTAGAAGAATTACATGATTGGAAAGCAAAGGCTTTTTTTCATATGTCATAAACCAAACAGTAACATCCATGCTTCTTTTATACTATATAGAATTTTTCTTTACTGCCAGCAATTTCAATCCAATTCTGTAATTTAGTGCAAAACTTATTTAAACCTTAAGACTTATTTCTGAGTAAGCATGCATGGGATTGCCCTGTCAATGTTTTAAGTCTGCTTCAAATTGTGGCCATTGTTTTG